ATAAATACATATATATATATATATATATATATGTATTTATGCACAAAACTAAGACAAAATCTGACTAAATCAGGAAATAAAGCATGATTTGCTGTAAGGAGAAAGAGGACTCTGAGTTTACCAAAGAAAACCTGCTGCTAACCAGGTTAGTTAGGGAGGATGTTACTACCAGTGGCTGCTGGTCAATAGATGGCGCTAACATGCTGCCCCGCCCATCCGATTAATACATTTAAAAAAATATAAATATATTTTTTTCTTTATTATTTAATTATTTTTAAACAATTTTAAACATTTCGAAATATATTGGTATATATTTTTTAGATTTGCAAGGTAAATATTAAATCATTAATGACAAGTAAAGTTTGTGACACATTTTCACTCTAAAGAGCAAAAAGTTTCGCCCATAGATTCTTGTTAAAAGTTGTCCAATTAGCAGCAGCTCCTCTGCAATGCAGAAATATAGGAGAGCTGCACCCCGAGCTGACAGGAAGTGCATTTGCTCATCACCTCCCGCCACAGCGCAGACGTTTTGCGGGTGATTGACAGGTCAAGTTGTGGGGGCTGGAGACGCATTGGAGAGAGAAAGGGAGAGATAGGGACAGGGAGAGAGAGAGAGAGAGAGAGAGAAGGAGAAATGGTGCAAGTAACGTCTTTTTCCAGGACCTGGTTTAGCTCAAGGCTAGGCTAACTGCATGCAGCGAGGCTAAAGCTTTATCCTGCTTTCCCTGCCTCCTGTTTCAAACGTCAGGATCAGATCCAGCCTGGATAAAGACAGCTAGGACTGATTTAAAGCTCTTTGCAGAAAAGGCAAAGAAGAATAAACAATCTGATATTCACATAGAAAAATAATAGAATATAGTCTACTTTTTCTACATGTTTGTTAATTTGAATGGTTGCTCTTAAACACATTCTCTGAAAATAATTTTTATGTTTTAAAAAACATAAAGCTGACTAATAACTTCTCCATTATTAAACTGGTACATTCTTTTTTTATGTTTCTGACACAATATTTGACCATAGAAAACACAGATTTATCTTCACAAAGCCCCATAAGGGCAATGGACAAAAATTAAACCTGGACATGAAATTATGTTTTGTTTTAATAACGTTTTTTGTTGTTGGTATTCATATCAATATACTGCTCTGATAACTTAGTATATTTTTTTGGTATATGTCTCTTTTTAAGTTATAGCGCCCCCTGTAGAAAACTCCATGAGCCGCCACTGGTTACCGTGGTTACTGAAGAAGAGGTTGAGGAAACTTTGTGAAACAGAAACAGAGTTTCCCTGTTTTCAGGTTTAAAAATGTATTTTTTTTTGTAAACCTGCTTCGTGAAACGGATCCCAGAAGCTTAAAATCATTTATTTTGCTGCTAAATCCAAAGAAACCCAAAAATGTATTCAACGCTGGAAAAACGATCTAGAAATGAGTATAATGTCTTAAATTAAGTGTATTTAGCCTTAATTTGAGCAGGTAGATAAGATGATCTGCCAATGGAATGAGCATTTTTACTCTTAAAATAATGTAGTTGGATAATATGCACTTATAATAAGACAATGCAATTGTTTTTTTCTTATTTTAAGTGTAAATTGTCTTGTTCTATTGGCAAGATATGTCTTTCACCTCCTCAGTCGAAGAACAAATGGAATTTTTTTAAGAAAAAAAGGATTTCTCTAGGTTTCAATTTTTTCCAGTGAAGATATTTTCCCAAATTTTAAAACAAAAATGGCTGCAATAAAAAGTGGAGACATTTTTTTTTCTTATTTCTTGATAACAGAATAACTATAATTTTATAATAAACTAATCCAAGCAAGAGAAGATGCAACAGTGAAACGACATGGAGAGCATTACTGACCTGAAGGCTGAGCAGAAACGGCAGAGAAACAGGCAGCTGCGACGAAGCTGAGGAGAACCGCTCCTCCCTTCATCTTGGATGCTGGATGATTTTACTTCCTGCATGAAACACAGTTAGAATAAAGATTAAAAACTGATATGATCTAAAGCCGAAGCAATTAATCGGATTAATCGATTATTTCAATAATCGTCAACAAATTTAGTAATCGATTAAATGTTATAGTATTGAGA